GCAGCATGGCCAGCTCGGGCAGCACCACCTGCGGTCAGTGTTGCCATCCAGTAAAAAAAACTTTATGTAACCACTCCACATAAAGCCTTCTATAACACCACATAACAGAGGGTCTATATCGGAAATACCGTTAAAGTTGCGAAACCGTATTCGTAACCTCATCAACAAAATTTATATAGCTTTTCTGTTGTACTTCATGCCCCGTAAATATTAAATACAAGTGGATGATAATACGAAAAATTCTTACGTATTTTTTGATAAGCCTTAAAAAACGAATATGGCTCTAAATTGAACAACAGTAGGAAATAACATCGCGTCATATTTATAGTAAAACATACTTTGTAACAAATCGAGGTGACTGATCTAAGCGTAAAATTTATTTATAAACTTTCTTAAGATAAACACGAATAAGTCCCTCAGCATTTAATTTATCATTACTTAAACTACTTTCAGTTAATACAAAAGCAAAAGACGGCGATAAAATGTAATGAAGCCAGAAATACAAATAAAAGTCGCCTAATGAAGTTGTAACGCGAAGTATAATTATTATTGCCTTACTTCGTCGCTATCTTAGCGAAGCGTAAACGTATCGTGGAAAACTTTATCAATAACAAAGTTTAGGCGACGAACCGATACAAAACTGTCCCCGGAGAGAAGACGAAAGTAATTGAGATAAGATGGAATTATAATTATTTTGTTCTCAATGTAATCTTGTCTTATTAAACTCAAGATGTTACTTTAGATATCGTGAACATATTTAGACACTGGAAGGAACGAAATCACTTTTACCTTTTACCTAAACATTACAAAAATTTTAATATAACACGGCAAAGATCATTGGAAGTGAATTAACTAGCTGTTGAAAAACTTAAAATGTTTGTAACATAATAAAACGAGACATTTGCCATCAGTTGACATTATAGCAGTATATTATTAAATTATACGTTCTCGAAAATGTTTGATGCGTGCAAATTAACAGAGTCATCGAGACGGGCTATAAATTGAGACCGTTACGCGCGTTTTAATCTCCTAACGCGAAACGACACAAATTCATCGGGGCTCACATTTTTACGGCCCGCAAGCGGTTTTTATGTGACGCTTTCCTTCGGCTTGTGTGCAAATGTGACGGAAATTAGTAAACACTAGGGTTGTCGACACCTTTTTTAATTTAAATTATACTTTAAAGAAAAATCAGTCTAATGTGTAAAAGGCTACCCAATTGTCACGTCATCACCAATATCAACCAATTAAATGCGATAAGAGTTCTATAGTTCTCTCTCGCTCTACTTGTCTATTTCACTCTTTCCTCTCCCCTCTCTCTCCGTCTCTTTTACTTTTTCCTGTCCTCTCTCTCTCTACCTCTCTATTTCTCTCTCTCTCTATATATATCTGTCTCATAAGATGTGTAAGATAGTAACTTTTTAGCTGATATTTAGATGAAGTTTGAGTTTGTGACAGCCCTAGGGCGTGTGACGTGCAGCAGCCAACCGGCGCTCAACTTAATTAACCACTCAACGCGTAGTGCGATGCGGCGCCGCTTTGCCACTGATTTACTGTGTTAAGTGCGAAATTACTAATTAAAACCCTACTCTAAAAAAATTACGTTAAAAAAATAATTTCCGTTTTTAGAAGCTAAAAATTCCACCAGTTATTCAAAAGTTTTATAGGTCAAATTGTCATTTCCTCTGAAATTAATCGGAAGTACAGAATCGGGCCGACTTATTTGATAAACATTGAATACCGAAGGTTAAAGATATAAAGTTTATCGACAGAAGTAACATATAAAATGCAATTTTCTTCAATAAATTACATTACGGGGGTTTCCCGTTGGGTCCACCTAACGAATATTCATGTTCGATCGACATAATGGGAAAAAATCCCAATGCGTTTGATCGTTGGGCAGATTAGTCCAACGGGAAATAAGCGATTACTACCACATTCAATTTATGCTTAAAAATGCTCTAACGACAACCAACAAATATTTGTATACAAGCTTTCGCTTGCGATTCCGTCCGCTTAGGCTACAAAGCCTAACAAACATCTAACCATACATCTAAACTTTCGCACTTATAATATTAGTAAGAAACAAGGTTTTCTACAAATTATTTATTTACCATCAGTTGCAGTATTTAAGATTCGTCCACATGGAATTAAATAGTAACAAAAATATGTTACTTCATTAGGGTGGGGTAGGTTACTTAGGGTTTTTATCAAAAATATTTACCCCCTAAATTTAACGGCGTTAAAATATATAGCCTAAAGCGTGACGTAAGTGTAAGGCTTTTTATTAAAAAAATAATTATTCAAAAATATGCTGTAATTGCTGACATCTTAGACAACAAAGAAGTGTGTGTTTAGGCTTTATTATAATAGTATATAATCGACACATGGCGGTTACCTTCTTGAAGACAAAGGGCTCATCGCCGTAGACGGGATTGATGCCGTTGTTGGGCGCGACTCTCGTGCG